GCCCTGTTGTCTGTGCCTGCAAGACCTGTCTTGGACTGTGTTCCTGTCATCCAAATAAACCTTCTGCTTTACTGGCTGGCTGAGAGTCATGGTGAATCGCAGGAAGCCGGGGGTGCAGGGCCCTGAGTTCCCCAATACTCCGTGACAGGTGTGCACGTGGGCTGTCACTGTGTGGGTGTGCACGTGGGCTGTCACTGTGTGTGTGTGTGTGTGCATGTACATATGGACTGTCACTGTGTGTGTGTGTGCATGTGGGCTGTCGCTGTGGGTGTGTGTGTGTGCGTGTACATATGGACTGTCACTGTGTGTGTGTGCATGTGGGCTGTCGCTGTGGGTGTGTGTGTATGCGTGTACATATGGACTGTCACTGTGTGGGTGTGCACGTGGGCTGTCACTGTGTGTGTGTGTGTGCGTGTACATATGGACTGTCACTGTGTGTGTGTGCATGTGGGCTGTCACTGTGTGTGTGTGTGTGTGTGCGTGTACATATGGACTGTCACTGTGTGTGTGTGCATGTGGGCTGTCGCTGTGGGTGGCTGTACACCTGGGCTGTCACTGCATGTCCCCTGGGCATTTCTGAGTGTGCCAACCCCCGGCACAGAAAGTGTCTCCCTGGTGCCTGTGGCTCGGTGTCTCTGGCTGCCGGTGCTATGGGGAGGAGGAGGGAGGGTGCTGGGGACTCTCGGGTACTGTGGCCAAGACCCAGGGGCCCCGAATCCTCGCCAGGCTGAGCCCTGCCCTCCCCCGCACAGGCTGTTGGTGCATCAGCTTCGAGTCCAACTTCCTGTGTGCGGCCTGTGACCGGCGCTGGGAGGAGCACGAGACCTTCTTCGAGACGGCTGAGACGCGGCGAAAGGGGGGCCGGCCCTATGGTACGCACAGCGCCTGGCCTCTACCCCCCTCGCTCCCATGGCAGCACGTAGGGTCTGGGCCGGGGCAGTGGGGCCCCCAGCCTAGCCCCGGCCCCAACAGCTCAGGCTCCTCTGGAGCGTCAGGGCTTGTCACCCTGAGGAGAACCCCCCGCCCCGTCCCATGGCAGCGCTCTCACCCCCAGCGTAGCCCCAGGGCCACACCTGTCCTGGGACAGAGTGGCTGGCACAGAGCCCCAGGCATGTCTGCACCATTCCCCCGGCACAGCCCCCTCCGGCTTAGGCCCTGGGCCTGCACTTTGCACACGGGGACACGCCGTGGCCCCCCCACGCTGCGCCCCACCACTCGCTATGGCTCCCCAGAGGCACAGAAGCGACGCGCCCAGCAGGGATCGGCCTGTTCACGCCGTCCAGCAGCAAAGGGGCCGGAATGGGCAAGCGAAGCCTGCACAGGTGTCAGGCACCCCGGAGCCCAACTCCCTCCCCGCTCTGGCAGCCGGCTCCGGAGAGCCGCTCCTGACCCCTCAGACCTCGGCTCTGTTCCCTCTGTCGTGGGTGCTACACCCCGGCGGTTAGACAGTTCCTTGGAGGATCCCGGGGGCAGGCCACCTCCTTCCCCCAGCCCTGCAGCCCCACCACCTCTGACTCTGAGCCCCTGGGCTCCCTCCCTCCTGCTCCACCCCAGGCCCTGCCCAGCGAGTCCCACCCAGCCAGCCCCTGGGCGAGACGTGGCCCCTCCGCAGGGACCGATGCCCCCAGCCGGGGTCTGCAGCACCTGGAGCCCCCATGGACAGCCCTGAGCTCAGCCCAGAGACCTGCAGGCTGAAGCATCGTCCCCCTGGCCGAGCAGAGCCGCTCCCCAGCCAGGCTGGCCCGGCCCCAGCTCAGGCGCTGGCCCCCTCTGGCTCCTTCGGCAGGTCAGTCGCAGGAGCCAGCAGCCAGCTCCCTCCAGGAGCCCCCACTGGGTTCCCCTCGGTCACCTCCCCTCCTTTGGTCTCCAGGCAGGGCCACGCTGCGTCCCAGCCCCCGCGCCAGAGCTCCCCCGCGGAGCCCCTACTGCTGAGCCTCGCAGCCGGCGTGGGCTCTCCGGAGCCCTAGTCTGGGTCGCTTCCAGCCGGTTCCGTAAGGACCCGATTCATTGCACCCCGACAGCAGGCGACCCCCCCCCCCGTGTCCCCTGTGCTGGGCCAGGGGCAGCGTTAACCCCTTTGTGCCCACCGAGTAACAATACAACGTAGAGAGGGAAACTGAGGCACACATCAGCTTCATAAAAATATTACCAAAAACTCCTGCTTCATCAGCCCTCCCACGGCATTGGAGTGTGCCACACCCCATGGCCACTGGCCACCAGGAGTTCCCAGCCCCTCGTCAAGTTAACACCATTCCCCAACCCAGCCGCCTACTGCCTCCTACCCCGTCTCTGTCCCGGGAAAGAAATTAACCCCTTCACTCCCAGAGGGTTACAGTGCAGAGTGAGTGGGGAAACTGAGGCACACTTATTTTGTCCATAAAGTTAATACAGCGTTTTCCTGCATCCTCCGCCCTGGCCTTCACTGATGTCACTTTGGGGGGGATTGAAGCAAAGCTGGGAAAAGGCCACTCACGCCAGAGTCAGGGCGTCCACACGGGCGTTGTACCGGCACAGCGCCAGCACCAGGGGTATTGCAGTGCAGGTCTGTGGGGCACCGTCCCTGTGTCACAGGCCCTCTGCAAAGCTCAGCCCCAGACCGGGCCCCCGCCCCGTGTCCTCAGCCCCACACCGCCTCCTGCCTTCCCCTGAGCCCCTCCCCCCTGGCCAAGCTCGGGGGGGGACGGACCAGCTGAGCAGCACAGCTGGGAGTCCCTCCTGTGGGGCCAGGATGGATCCATTGGGCTGTTCAGGGGGTGGGAGAACCCTGGGCTGGATGGGCCCATTGGTCTGATCTTGGGGGGACCCTGGGCTGGATGGGCCCATTGATCTGATGTGGGGGGGGAACCTGACTGGGGGCGAGGGCAGCGGGAAATGCTATGGGGTGCTGGATTTATTGAGCCCTAACCGGCTGTGCGGCCCCCAGGCCAGGCCTCACTCTGCTCCCTGCCTCCTGGGCAGGTGTCACTTTACAGGGCCCACATCCCTCCCCAGGTTACCCGCACTCCCCGTGTTACCCGCACTCCCCGTGGGCACATCCCTCCCCAGATTACCCGCACTCCCCGTGGGCACGTCCCTCCCCGTGTCAGCCGCACTCCCCGTGGGTCACCTCTCCCCGTGTTACCCGCACTCCCCGTGGGCACCTCCCTCCCCGAGTTACCCCCATGTCCCATGGTCCCTGTGCTCCCCATGTGGGTTGACAACTTTCTAATTGTGGACAACTGGACCCCCCTGCCCCACCTCTTTCCCCAAGGCCCCAGCCCCCACTCGCTGCTCTCCCCTCCCCCTTCCTCGTAGTTGGCTCCTCTCCAGCTGCCTCTCCCCCCCATCCCGCTCCGGCTGGGATCCCTCTCTCCGGAGCCTGCCCAGGAGATGCAGGGAGGAGGCGGCCCCAGCTGAGCAGGGGCTGGCGTGGGTTGATGACCTGGCACCTCCCACACCCCGCGGTAACAGGACTATTGGTGTCCGGTCAGTACATCTGACCGAACGCTGCCACGGTCCCTTTTCGACCGGACTTTCCAGTCGAAAACCGGGCACCTGGCAACCCTACGTGTTACCCCCTCCCCCCTCCCAAGTTACCCCTATGCCCCATGGCCCCCGTCCCATGTCCCCGTCTCTCCTCATGTTTCCTCTACACCCCGTGTCTGCCCCCCACTCCTCCTCATGTTACCCCCACTGTCATGGCCCCCGTCCCTTGCTGTTACCCCCAGGTCCTGCAGCCCCATTCCATGGCTCTGGCCCTCTCCAGGCCCCCATCCTCCCTGTGTCACCCCCCATCTGTGGCCTCCGTCCCACGCCTGCCTCTCTCTTCTGCCCCCAGGAGAAGCCTACTTGCCCTTTGCCGAGATGCCGGAGCTGCGGAACGCCGTCCTGACGGGACACCCGGGGCACAGCTCTGACCCCCAAGCCCCGCTGGGGGAACTCCCTGCCCCGCCCTCACACGCTCTGCCTTTTCCCTCCCCAGGACTGCGGAGCCCGGCCAAGCAGAGCGGCAAGAAGGCGTGAGGCCCGCCCCGCGGCAGCCACCAATAAAGGGACTTGGCTCTGCACGTGTGGAGTGCGGGCGTCGGCTGTGGGGCAGATCTCTGGGCCAGGGAGCGCCGTGCGCGAGGGACGGAGGGGGACGGAGTGAGCGAGCCAGGTGGGGGGATACGCTGGGAGCAGCCCTGTGTGCTGCCAGCCTGGAGGCAGAGCTCCTGCTCCTGGCCCAACCCAATGGCCCAGCCCGGAGCTGCTTGGCGCCTGTGTGAGCCGCTGCCACGTGCTGCCAGCCTGGCCCCAACCCCCAGCCAGGCTCCCCCGTGACGCACCGAGAGCCGGCCTGGGGGAGTGTGACACCCACAGCTTGTCAGAGAGCCCCAGCGATTTCAGTGGGGCAGCGTCCAGGGCTGCTGGGACCCATGGATGGGGGGGCCCAGGCAGCTCTCACTGCACCATATGGCAGGATGAACGGGCTTGCAGCCCCCAGCCCCACCCTGCCCATCAGCTGTCATGGGGGCTCTCAGGGGAGGGGCACTCTGAGGCTGGGGTCTCTCTGGGGCCGGGGTAGTTGGGGGGGGGGTCTTGGGGGAGGGGCACGTCTGGGGCTGGGGTCTCTCGTGGGGCCGGGGTAGTCGGGGGGGGTCTTGGGGGAGGGGCGACGTCTGGGGGCTGGGGGTCTCGTCTGGGGCCGGGATGGGGTGGGGGGCTCGTTGGGGGAGGGGCACGTCGTTGGGCTGGGGTGGTCTGGGAGGCGTCGGTGGGGGAGGGG